GACACACACACAAAGACACCCCAATATAGTGGGTTGAGTTTTATGATCTCCCCCTGTTCTACAGAGTGTGTGGAGTTTGTATGATCTCCCCCTGTTCTACAGAGTGAGAGTGAGTGGAGTTTGTGTGATCTCCCCCTGTTCTACAGAGTGAGTGAGTGGAGTTTGTATGATCTCCCCCTGTTCTACAGAGTGAGAGTGAGTGGAGTTTGTATGATCTCCCCCTGTTCTACAGAGTGAGAGTGACTGGAATTTGTATGATCTCCCCCTGTTCTACAGAGTGAGAGTGAGTGGAGTTTGTATGATCTCCCCCTGTTCTACAGAGTGAGAGTGAGTGGAGTTTGTGTGATCTCCCCCTGATCTACAGAGTGTGTGGAGTTTGTGTGATCTCCGCCTGTTCTACAGAGTGAGAGTGAGTGGAGTTTGTATGATCTCCCCCTGTTCTACAGAGTGTGAGTGAGTGGAGTTTGTATGATCTCCCCCTGTTCTACAGAGTGTGTGGAGTTTTGTGTGATCTCCGCCTGTTCTACAGAGTGAGAGTGAGTGGAGTTTGTATGAACTCCCCCTGTTCTAAAGAGTGAGTGAGTGGAGTTTGTGTGATCTCCGCCTGTTCTACAGTGTGTGAGTGAGTGGAGTTTGTGTGATCTCTCCCTGTTCTACAGAGTGTGTGGAGTTTTGTGTGATCTCCGCCTGTTCTACAGAGTGAGAGTGAGTGGAGTTTGTATGAACTCCCCCTGTTCTAAAGAGTGAGTGAGTGGAGTTTGTGTGATCTCCGCCTGTTCTACAGTGTGTGAGTGAGTGGAGTTTGTGTGATCTCTCCCTGTTCTACAGAGTGAGAGTGAGTGGAGTTTGTGTGATCTCTCCCTGTTCTGCAGAGTGTGTGGAGTTTGTGTGATCTCCGCCTGTTCTACAGAGTGAGAGTGAGTGGAGTTTGTATGATCTCCCCCTGTTCTACAGAGTGAGTGAGTGGAGTTTGTATGATCTCCCCCTGTTCTACAGTTAGAGTGAGTGGAGTTTGTATGATCTCCACCTGTTCTACAGAGTGAGAGTGTGTGGTGTTTGTATGATCTCCCCCTGTTCTAAAGAGTGAGTGAGTGGAGTTTGTGTGATCTCCCCCTGTTCTACAGAGTGAGTGAGTGGAGTTTGTATGATCTCCCCCTGTTCTACAGAATGAATGGAGTTTGTATGATCTCCCCCTGTTCTACAGAGTGAGTGAGTGGAGTTTGTATGATCTCCCCCTGTTCTACAGAGTGAGTGGAGTTTGTGTGATCTCCCCCTGTTCTACAGAGCGAGTGAGTAGAGTTTGTCTGATCTCCCCCTGTTCTACAGAGTGAGTGAGTGGAGTTTGTATGATCTCCCTCTGTTCTACAGAGTGAGTGGAGTTTGTATGATCTCCCCCTGTTCTACAGAGTGAGTGAGTGGAGTTTGTATGATCTCCCCCTGTTCTACAGAGTGAGTGAGTGGAGTTTGTATGATCTCCGCCTGTTCTACAGAGTGTGAGTGAGTGGAGTTTGTATGATCTCCCCCTGTTCTACAGAGTGAGTGAGTGGAGTTTGTATGATCTCCGCCTGTTCTACAGAGTGTGAGTGAGTGGAGTTTTTTGTGATCTCCCCCTGTTCTATAGAGTGAGTGGAGTTTGTGTGATTTCCCCCTGTTCTACAGAGTGAGTGAGTGGAGTTTTTGTGATCTCCCCCTGTTGTACAGGGCGAGTGAGTGGAGATTGTATGATCGCCCCCTGTTCTACAGAGTGAGTGGAGTTTGTATGATCTCCCCCTGTTCTACAGAGTGAGTGAGTGGAGTTTGTATGATCTCCCCCTGTTCTACAGAGTGTGAGTGAGTGGAGTTTGTATGATCTCCACCTGTTCTACAGAGTGAGTGAGTGGAGTTTGTATGATCTCCCCCTGTTCTACAGAGTGTGAGTGAGTGGAGTTTGTATGATCTCCCCCTGTTCTACAGTGAGTGAGAGGCGTTTGTATGATCTCCCCCTGTTCTACAAAGTGAGTGAGTGGAGTTTGTATGATCTCCCCCTGTTCTACAGAGTGAGAGTGAGTGGCGTTTGTGTGAACTCCCCCTGTTCTACAGAGTGAGTGAGTGGAGTTTTTGTGATCTCCCCCTGTTCTACAGTTAGAGTGAGTGGAGTTTGTGTGATCTCTCCCTGTTCTACAGAGTGAGAGTGAGTGGAGTTTTATGATCTCCCCCTGTTCTACAGAGTGAGTGAGTGGAGTTTTATGATCTCCCCCTGTTCTACAGATTGAGTGAGTGGAGTTTGTGTGATCTCCCCCTATTCTACAGAGTGAGTGAGTCGAGTTTGTATGATCTCCCCCTGTTTTACAGAGTGAGTGAGTGAAGTTTGTGTGATCTCCCCCTGTTCTACAGAGTGAGTGAGTGGAGTTTGTATGATCTCCCCCCGTTCTAGAGTGAGAGTGAGCGGCGTTTGTATGATCTCCCCCTGTTCTACAGTTAGTGTGAGTGGAGTTTGTGTGATCTCCCCCCGTTCTACAGAGTGAGTGAGTGGAGTTTGTATGATCTCCCCCTGTTCTACAGAGTGTGAGTGAGTGGAGTTTGTATGATCTCCACCTGTTCTACAGAGTGAGTGAGTGGAATTTGTATGATCTCCCCCTGTTCTACAGAGTGTGAGTGAGTGGAGTTTGTATGATCTCCCCCTGTTCTACAGTGAGTGAGTGGCGTTTGTATGATCTCCCCCTGTTCTACAAAGTGAGTGAGTGGAGTTTGTATGATCTCCCCCTGTTCTACAGAGTGAGTGGCGTTTGTGTGAACTCCCCCTGTTCTACAGAGTGAGTGAGTGGAGTTTTTGTGATCTCCCCCTGTTCTACAGTTAGAGTGAGTGGAGTTTGTGTGATCTCTCCCTGTTCTACAGAGTGAGAGTGAGTGGAGTTTTATGATCTCCCCCTGTTGTACAGAGTGAGTGAGTGGAGTTTGTGTGATCTCCCCCTGTTCTACAGAGTGAGTGAGTGAGTGGAGTTTGTGTGATCTCCCCCTTTTCTACAGAGTGAGTGAGTTGAGTTTGTATGATCTCCCCCTGTTTTACAGAGTGAGTGAGTGAAGTTTGTGTGATCTCCCCCTGTTCTACAGAGTGAGTGAGTGGAGTTTGTATGATCTCCCCCCGTTCTAGAGTGAGAGTGAGCGGCGTTTGTATGATCTCCCCCTGTTCTACAGTTAGTGTGAGTGGAGTTTGTGTGATCTCCCCCTGTTCTACAGTTAGTGTGAGTGGAGTTTGCGTGATCTCCCCCCGTTCTACAGAGTGAGTGAGTGGAGTTTGTATGATCTCCCCATCTTCTACAGAGTGAGAGTGAGTGGAGTTTGTATGATCTCCCCCTGGCTACGTACGGTGCGAAAGAAGTTCAACACACACACACACATAGCACGGTTGGCTACGTAGAAGTTGAACATATCGTGTTCACAACTCACGTGCCATTTGCAGTAGCGGTAGCAGCAGCAGCATCGCCCCCTCGTGCACAAATGTGAACACGAACCTCGTGAAATGCCGGATGAACTTGAGTCGCAATATTCATTGGTTCTTTCGGTAAAGTCACGTAGGTATCAAAATTAAATCACGACGTTTCGATTGCAACACAAGCAATCATCATCAGGTGGGAAAACCACGGCAATATTATTTTTTTCTTTCTGTTAGATACACGATATTAATAACATGTACGACCAAACTAGCAGCCATATCTGGCAGCATGACACTCCCAGTGTATGATGTGTGAGTGAGTCAGTGTACGATGTGTGAGTGAGTCAGCGTATGATGAGTGAGTGTATGATGAGGGAATTAGTGTATGATGAGTGAACGGGTGAGTGGTTGTGTGAGTGAGTGTATGATAATATAAGTTTGTTGCATGTCGGCAAGTATGCTAAACATTTCGAACAGACACACATATTCACAAATATATAAGATAGACAGAGTCAGCATGTGCTACTGTAGTGAAAGCTGTAATCATAGCAGGCACCACCATAGTCGGTATGCACTGCTGTTATCATAGAAGGATACCACCACAGTCAGCATGCAATGCTGTAATCATAGCAGGTACCACCACAGTCAGTATCCACGGCTGTAGTGATAGCAGGTACCACCACCTGATGATGGACGCTTGTGTTGCGGCCCGAAACGTCGTGATTTAAATTTAGTTATTTTCATTTTATTATTTTCATTTTTCATCTACGTGACTTTACCGAAAGAGCCAAAGCGTAGTGATCCTTGCAGTCACGAAAACTTCAAATCTAGAAGGAATCCCAGGTTTTAATAAAACCGAGGCCTTATGAAACTAAGGCATTCATGTAACCCAGGTATTAATGAAACCCAGTTCTTATGTAACTAAGGCTTTAATGTAACCCAGGTCTTAATTAAACTCAGGCCTTATGTAACTAAGACATTCATGTAATCCAGGCATTAATGAAACCCAGTTCTTATGTAACTAAGGCTTTCATGTAATCCAGGTCTTAATTAAACTCAGGCTTTATCTAACTAAGGCCTTCATGTAACCCAGGAATGAATGAAGACCAGTTCTTATGTAACTAAGGCTTTCATGTAACCCAGGTCTTAATAAAACCCAGGCCTTATCAAACTAAGGCATTCATGTAACCCAGGCATTAATGAAACCCAGTTCTTATGTAACTAAGGCTTTAATGTAACCCAGGTCTTAATTAAACTGGGGCCTTATGTAACTAAGACATTCATGTAATCCAGGCATTAATGAAACCCAGTTCTTATGGAACTGAGGCTTTCATGTAACCCACTCATTCATAAAACCCAGGCCTTATGTAACTAAGGCTTTCATGTAACCTAGGCCTCGGTGAAACCCAGGCCTTCAAGTTACAATGCCTGGGAGCTGAACAGTGGCAAGAGCCCCATCACCCCAGGAACAGCGCCTTGACCTCTCGGAGTCCTTAGAAGACGTCGATCCGAAGATCTCAGGGGGGACCTCGTCGGAGAGTAAAACATGACTCAGTTCCTTGCGAATATTGCGGGGGCCAATAGCATCGAGTGCCTCTTCAGGTCAGCAGCGGGATGCACCTCTACTGGGAAAGACCGTGGGTCCGTGATTCACCTCCAGGAGGATCGTGCCGGACTTATTGAAGTCGCCCGTGTCTATGGTGAAAGTGAACGTTCCGTCTGCCCCGGTGTGGTGCTGGCTTCCGGTAGGACCGCCGTTGCCTTGCTTCACGGCCAGGCTGACGAGTTTGTGTGGGACCGGACTGCCGTCAGGCCTCTCCACCTTCACCTGCGGAAACAGGGATGGACGAGTTCGAGTCACGGCAAAGGTGGCGATTACCTGACGCGCTAAAACTAAAATGTGGCCAATTTTTACCTTCGGGTTTTTTTTTTGTTAACTCCCTTACCAGGTAAGGCCCACTGACATATGAAGCTCTTTTTCAGAAGTGACACGACTATCACAAATGCTAGCTCAAGGAAGTGGCTTATTGCGTGATAATGCATAGCAGCCAATTACTCTTAAGCGCATGTTTCTAAATGTGGAAGGGAAACAACGGAGGACCCAGAGAAAAAATCCACGCGACCACGGCAATGATGGGCGATCCTAGTAGCAAAAGTATAATATGCTACAGGCCCTGCACTTTCAAGGCCCCCTTACTAGATGCTTTCAAACTATCAATTTCGGTTCAGCGATTCTGCACTTGCTCTATCACTACAGAAATATACCGCCTTCAACTTTTACAAACGACTGGGTGTTTAGGGTTTGCGATTTGTTATATTATCTGGCTGTATAGCAAATGAAAAAATACGATTACTATGCAAGTTACAAATGATTTTTCGAATTTTTGTTTTTTATTCAGGGTCCCTTTATAACATATTAGCGGGAAGTACCCGGCATTGCCCGGGGGAAAAATATATTTCAAAAACTTGTCTTCTCTTAAAAACATAACATATACCTACACAAACACTAAGCTATTGTGAAAGCCCGGCGTTCTGTTTGTCTGTCCATTTGTTGATCAACAAAATAACGAGAGGCTTGCCGAAGTCCTGAATAAAAAATAAATAGAAAGTGGGGGGTAAACACCCTCCATACAATAGAGTAGTATCTAGTGACTTTATAGTAGTATCTGGCTCTACAGTAGTGACTACTGACTCTATAGTAGTATCTATTGACTCTAATGTAATATCAAATGACTCTGAAGAAGCAACTGTTGAAACTCTTCAGGAGTATCTGATTACTGCAGTAGTATCTACTAACTGTAGTAGTAGTAGTATCTACTGACTCTACAGTAGTATCTACCGACTCTATAGTAGTATCTACTGACTGTAGTAATAATTACTAACTCGATTGCAGTATCAACTGACTCTATAGCAGTATCTACTGACTCTGCAGCAGAATATACTGACTATAGTGGTATCTACTGACTCGAGTATAATCTACAGACTCTGAAGTAATATGAACCGACTCTATAGTAGTAACTACTGATACTGCCATGGTATTTAATGACTATGGTAGTACCTACTGAAACTATAGTAGTATTTATTGACCCTATAGCAGTATCTACAGACTCTATAGCGGTATCAACTATCACTACAATAGTATATACTGACTACAGCAGTATCTACTAGCACTACAGTAATATATACTGACAACAGTAGTATCTACTATCACTACAGTAGTATATACTGAATACAGTAGTATCTACTATGACTAAAGTAGTATATACTGACTACAGTAGTATATACTGACTAAAGTATCTACTATCACTACAATAGTATATACTGATAATAGCAGTATCTGCTATCACTATAGTAATATATTCTGACTACAGTAGTATCTACTATCACTACAGTAGATATACTGACAATAGTAGTATCTACTATCACTACAATAGTATATACTGACTATAGTAGTATCAACAATCACTACAGTAGTATATACTGACTATAGTAGTATTTACTATCACTACAGTAGTATATGCTGACTATTGTAGTATCTACTATCACTACAGTAGTATATACTGACTACAGTAGTATCTACTATCACTACAGGAGTATATTCTGACTATAGTAGTATCTATCACTACAATAGTATATACTGACTACAGTAGTATCTACTATCACTACAGTAGGATATTCTGACTACAGCAGTATCTACTATCAGTACAGTAGTATATACTGACTATAGTAGTATCTACTATCACTACAATAGTATATACTGACTACAGTAGTATCTACTATCACTACAGTAGTATCTATTGACTATACTAGTATCTACTAGCACTACAGTAGTAAATACTGACTACAGTAGTATCTACGATCACTACAGTAGTATATACTGACTATAGTAGTATCTACTATCACTACAGTAGTATCTACTGACTATAGTAGTATCAACTAGCACTACAGTAGTATATACTGACTATAGTAGTATCTACTATCACTACAGTAGTATATACTGACTACAGTAGTATCTACTATCACTACATGAGTATATTCTTACTATAGTAGTATCTACTATCACTACAGTAGTATCTACTGACTATAGCTGTATCTACCAGCACTACAGTAGTATATACTGACTAGAGTAGTATCTACTATCACTACAGTAGTATCTACTGACTATAGCAGTATCTACTATCACTACAGTAGTATCTACTGACTATAGCAGTATCTACTAGCACTACAGTAGTATATTCTTACTATAGTAGTATCTACTATCACTACAGTAGTATATACTGACTACAGTAGTATCTACTATCACAACAGTAGTATATACTGACTACAGTAGTATCTACTATCACTACCGTAGTATATACTGACTATAGTAGTATCTACTATCACTACAGTAGTATATACTGACTACAGTAGTATCTACTATCACTACATGAGTATATTCTTACTATAGTAGTATCTACTATCACTACAGTAGTATATACTGACTACAGTAGTATCTACTATCACTACAGGAGTATATTCTGACGATAGTAGTATCTACTGTCACTACAATAGTATATACTGACTACAGTAGTATCTACTATCACTACAGTAGGATATTCTGACTACAGCAGTATCTACTATCACTACAGTAGTATATACTGACTATAGTAGTATCTACTATCACTACAATAGTATATACTGACTACAGTAGTATCTACTATCACTACAGTAGTATCTATTGACTATACTAGTATCTACTAGCACTACAGTAGTAAATACTGACTACAGTAGTATCTACGATCACTACAGTAGTATATACTGACTATAGTAGTATCTACTATCACTACAGTAGTATCTACTGACTATAGTAGTATCTACTAGCACTACAGTAGTATATTCTTACTATAGTAGTATCTACTATCACTACAGTAGTATATACTGACTACAGTAGTATCTACTATCACAACAGTAGTATATACTGACTATAGCTGTATCTACCAGCACTACAGTAGTATATACTGACTAGAGTAGTATCTACTATCACTACAGTAGTATCTACTGACTATAGCAGTATCTACTATCACTACAGTAGTATCTACTGACTATAGCAGTATCTACTAGCACTACAGTAGTATATTCTTACTATAGTAGTATCTACTATCACTACAGTAGTATATACTGACTACAGTAGTATCTACTATCACAACAGTAGTATATACTGACTACAGTAGTATCTACTATCACTACCGTAGTATATACTGACTATAGTAGTATCTACTATCACTACAGTAGTATATACTGACTATAGTAGTATCTACTAGCACTACAGTAGTATATACTGGCTACAGTAGTATCTACTATCACTACAGTAGTATATCCTGACTACAGTAGTATCTACTATCACAACAGTAGTATATACTGACTATACTAGTATCTACTATCACTACAGTAGTATATACTGACTATAGTAGTATCTACTATCACTGCAGTAGTATATACTGACTATAGTAGTATCTACTAGCACTACAGTAGTATATACTGACTACAATAGTATCTACTATCACTACAGTAGTATATACTGCCTATAGTAGTATCTACTATTACTACAGTAGTATATACTGACTATAGCAGTATCTACTATCACTGCAGTAGTATATACTGGCTACAGTAGTATCTACTATCACTACAGTAGTATATACTGACTATAGTAGTATCTACTATCACTGCAGTAGTATATACTGACTATAGTAGTATCTACTAGCACTACAGTATTATATACTGACTACAGTAGTATCTACTAGCACTGCAGTAGTATATACTGACTATATTAGTATCTACTATCACTACAGTAGTATATACTGACTATAGTAGTATCTACTATCACTGCAGTAGTATATACTGACTATAGTAGTATCTACTATCACTACAGTAGTATATACTGACTATAGTAGTATCTACTATCACTACAGTAGTATCTACTGACTATAGTAGTATCTACTAGCACTACAGTAGTATATTCTTACTATAGTAGTATCTACTATCACTACAGTAGTATATACTGACTACAGTAGTATCTACAATCACAACAGTAGTATATACTGACTATAGCTGTATCTACCAGCACTACAGTAGTATATACTGACTAGAGTAGTATCTACTATCACTACAGTAGTATCTACTGACTATAGCAGTATCTACTAGCACTACAGTAGTATATTCTTACTATAGTAGTATCTACTATCACTACAGTAGTATATACTGACTACAGTAGTATCTACTATCACAACAGTAGTATATACTGACTACAGTAGTATCTACTATCACTACCGTAGTATATACTGACTATAGTAGTATCTACTATCACTACAGTAGTATATACTGACTATAGTAGTATCTACTAGCACTACAGTAGTATATACTGGCTACAGTAGTATCTACTATCACTAAAGTAGTATATCCTGACTACAGTAGTATCTACTATCACAACAGTAGTATATACTTACTATAGTAGTATCTACTATCACTACAGTAGTATATACTGACTATAGTAGTATCTACTATCACTGCAGTAGTATATACTGACTATAGTAGTATCTACTAGCACTACAGTAGTATATACTGACTACAATAGTATCTACTATCACTACAGTAGTATATACTGCCTATAGTAGTATCTACTATTACTACAGTAGTATATACTGACTATAGCAGTATCTACTATCACTGCAGTAGTATATACTGGCTACAGTAGTATCTACTATCACTACAGTAGTATATACTGACTATAGTAGTATCTACTATCACTGCAGAAGTATATACTGACTATAGTAGTATCTACTAGCACTACAG